TAAACAGGGACAGAGCTAACTGCAAGATCTGCCTGGGGTGGTGAACAAAATAATGAAAAGTGTGTTTTTGATCTAATTTTTTAAGAGAAAAGTATTGCATTAATATCTGGATATGAATGTTAGACAGAAAAAGAAATAGGAAAGAAATGTTATTTTGACTAATTTAGGTAATTATAACCTATCGAACCACCTTTATGTTACCCCTTGCTAAATTTACATGTCATTGAAAATTTTATCGTTTATAATATTCTAGGAGAAACATAAACGTCAGCCGTTGACCTGGTATGGAAAATTCGATACGTTCTACCATCACAAAATTGGGCGTCCTTCCAATATTAAATCTAACAAAAACTACATTAATGCGGGCAGGCCATAAATGCCATGCAGTGTTAACGTTATTTCTTGGATAAAAGCTACCTTTGCGTTACATTATTGTATTGCCTTTAGTCATATCCCTACCAGTATTAACCCTCATGAAATTTGAAATTCGTTGGGAACCAAACGAGAAAGCTCTAAGTACCGGCAAGTGCAATACGACAACAAGGTAAGCTTTCAAATATTTTACGAGTATTTTACTAGTTGCTTTTCTTAAAGGGATAATAACCCTTCGTATGAGATCTTTATTTCACAATAAAAACATTGTGAATAACTCAAAGAAATATGATATATTTTTTTACCACAAAAACGGCAGTTATAGCTATTATTCTAAAATCTGAGCTTGTCTTTAGACCACGTGACCTCCATTGATGGCTATACTCTGTTCAAATCTCTTAAGAGATTTAAAAAAAATTAAGAAAGAAAAAAAAAAACACGGACTAACTTTGGATGTAAAAATGGATTCATTAACCATTGGTAATTATGGGTAAATCGATGCTTACTCTAGGAAAGATCATTTTTTGGCTGAAACGAAGAGTTATTATCCCTTTAAGTTCTATAGAAATTCTTTCATGCACAATAGTATATATCCAATATAATCCTTGTAATATTGTCTAACACCTCTCCCAAGATATTCACTTCTGATGTTTTTTTCTCCTTTATATCTCCCAAAAACAGTACATCGAGGAAATCGGACAAAGTTTAGCTGTCTCCCATATATTATAGTACAAATGTCATTGTTAACGGTTTGATACCAAGCACAGAGTAGTAAAATGTACATTCTTCTACCCTGTGTCCACCCCTTCCAAATGTCTGGATCCGATTGTTTTAGTTTCGTGTTAGTTATGGAATTANCTGAAAATATACCAGAACGTTGTCACGGCACGACACTGTTAAAAGGAAAAGGAGCATCATTTGGTAAGTGGCATTACTCTTCACAAAGGTTACTTGTGTGCCAGGAAAGGTAGCCCAAGAAATAGGAGTCCGGGGATCCCTTTATAATTAGTACAAGTTAAGATTAGTTCTAGTATATCAGATGAAATGCATCTGTGTAAAATAACGGAAAACGGACTACGTTTCCTTGCCGACTACCATTAGTGTCTCACCTGGATGGTAGTCGGCTAGGAAAATTAGCACACATGTTTTAATGATAGATAAATTTTCAATACGTTGTAAGTTCGGGACAGCATGCTACTGGACGTGGCAATGCAACAGAGAAGTGTTTGTTAATGATTTTCTCAGAAATTTTAACAGCATAAAAATGAATTCCAGCAGCTACATCAACGCTAGCTCTTGACAGGTATAATATGGAGATTTGTCCTAAAATGCACCAGCATGAAATTCGCTGTCCAATACTTAATCCATTTAATAAAAACAGCATTATTTTTGGCGCATTTTTCTCCTAGTTAAGGACATCATCCAGTCAAGTAAAGAAGATCAATTTTTGCTGAATCACCAGTTTTTTCAGACTTTGCCTAACTTAACTCCTGAGTTAAGGCGTAGTTAGACTGCTGCGATTCTAGAAACATATAAATTGACGGTAAACAGGGACAGAGCTAAGTGCAAGATCTGCATGGGGTGGTGAACAAAATAATGAAAAGTGTGTTTTTGATCTAATTTTTTAAGAGAAAAGTATTGCATTAATATCTGGATATGAATGTTAGACAGAAAATGAAATAGGAAAGAAATGCTATTTTGACTAATTTAGGTTATTATAACCTATCGAACCACCTTTATGTTGCCCCTTGCTAAATTTACATGTCATTGAAAATTTTAACGTTTATAATATTCTAGGAGAAACATAAACGTCAGCCGTTGACCTGGTATGGAAAATTCGATACGTTCTACCATCACAAAATTGGGCGTCCTGCCAATATTAAATCTAACAAAAACTACATTAATGCGGGCAGGCCATAAATGCCATGCAGTGTTAACGTTATTTCTTGGATAAAAGCTACCTTTGCGTTACATTATTGTATTGCCTTTAGTCATATCCCTACCAGTATTAGCCCTCATGAAATTTGAAATTCGTTGGGAACCAAACGAGAAAGCTCTAAGTACCGGCAAGTGCAATACGACAACAAGGTAAGCTTTCAAATATTTTACGAGTATTTTACTAGTTGCTTTTCTTAAAGGGATAATAACCCTTCGTATGAGATCTTTATTTCACAATAAAAACATTGTGAATAACTCAAAGAAATATGATATATTTTTTTACCACAAAAACGGCAGTTATAGCTATTATTCTAAAATCTGAGCTTGTCTTTAGACCACGTGACCTCCATTGATGGCTATACTCTGTTCAAATCTCTTAAGAGATAAAAAAAAATTAAGAAAGAAAAAAAAAAACACGGACTAACTTTGGATGTAAAAATGGATTCATTAACCACAGTACATCGAGGAAATCGGACAAAGTTTAGCTGTCTCCCATATATTATAGTACAAATGTCATTGTTAACGGTTTGATACCAAGCACAGAGTAGTAAAATGTACATTCTTCTACCCTGTGTCCACCCCTTCCAAATGTCTGGATCCGATTGTTTTAGTTTCGTGTTAGTTATGGAATTCAACCGGACTTTACATTATCCATTTCATCAGCATAGAGGTAAGGGGTCATCTGTCTATCTAGATCTATGTTCGGTAATTTAATTTGATGTTGTTACTATCCCCCCCCCCATCTTGTCATTTCGTATCATATTACATTTCATTGGCCAAAGTTACTCTTTGCCAGTCATTGTTTTGCTCTTTGCCAACTCTTTGCTCCATTTTATGGGGTGTAGGGTGATCATTTAATGTAATGTTGTTACCATCCCCAACCTTGTTTCTCCGTATCGTATCAAATTTCGTCATTTTAATAAATGATAATATTAGTCATATGACCTTATTTCATATTTCATTTTGAGCAAAAACTGAGCTTCTTTGTGCTTGTGAACATTTGACTGCATAAATTATTTTAAATGGCAATAATCATAAAGACGCATAAAGAAAAACTAATTTGAAAACCTCATATTATCTTATTTGAAATCATACTATTTTTCTAAAAGACTAAATAAGTTTTCCATTTAAAATAATTGAAATAATTGTTTATAGAAGTATGCAGGCATCGGCACTCATAGGTGTTTTGGCTTTCTGGATGTTTACAATGACAAGTGCATATCAGAGAGCGGCGCAGGAGAACAACGTTTTGACTGGAGACGCACCCGAGGCACCACCGAGGAAAAAAGGAGACCACGAAGCCATTCGGAAAAAGTTGCAAGATGCTGGTGTATTGAAAGTGTCAGATGAACAAGGCTTAGGCAAGTAGAATGGTTGATAAACTACACAAAATGAGTTTGTTCATTTGAGACATATTCACACAACTATAGTGCAGGAAATCTTTATAATACTTCCCACATTGCTCATGCTCTATTTGTTAAATAACACCGATTTTTCTGTCAATGTATGAAGGAAAGGCATCTTATAGATTTGTTCATTTGATTGTTGATGTTTAACACTTGGCAATTTTAAAAAAGAAATCTTACATGACAAGATTATTTGATCAGTTACTTTGAAGTATAGAGCATTGTAAGTGACCAAAAAGAGGCCTTTAACTCAGCGAGGAATAATATGATGTTGGTTTAAACTTATCCAAACTAAATTGCAAAGGAATATTTTAACAATGGGTGATTTACTCTTATTCATATCTCCCTCAGTGCCCCTTATTGAGTATATGGACGGTTCTGGGATACAAGGACAATACATCGCTCGACTTTTGCCTGATGCAAAGCACGTTCAAAGTAAGTAAACTTTGTTCCTATATTTATATCTGAATGTATATTGAGAGAAGTTGTTTTAATTTACTGGATCGCAGGGCAACGTGAGAGGACATTAAGGTCGTCTAGCATTTGTGGTTGTGATGATCAATTCAACCAAACGCCGTTGACGCTGCAAGCAAGCACATTGGAAAAAAAAAAAAAAAAAAAAAAAAAACAAAAACAAAAACAAAAAAAAAAAACAATGACGCTGACGCATGTTTGCTCCGAAACTTTTGCTTTTTGTTGTGTAAACAATGTTCAGTAAAATAAAAGTGTTCATTTTGTGATCTGTTACCTGTATTTTGCACTTTCAATGGACTAGCTTTAAAGTGACAACATTTTGGTGATAGCCTTTCTATTAACTGAGTTCTCTGGGTGCCTTTGTATTTTTTCTAATTTTGGCTTAGGATCCGATCCATATCTGCTCTATTGTAGCCTTAAATGGATTTATCATTTTAACCATTTACAAGAAACATACTTTAATTTATCTAGTCCGTAGAATCATCAAAGAACCTGAACGAAGACAACAAGTTAAGTTTAATAGAGACAAGGATTTCCTCATTCTGCGAAACATAAGTAAAAGGTTGGATACATTTTGACAGTGTGTTTTTCTTCCGTTTCTACACATTTCTAAAAAATTGTCTTATAAATAAAAATATTTTATCATCGTCTTCGCTATGAACTACAGATCAAATAATACCTTGAGCTAAAAAACAAAGTTCTTAAGGAGAAAATAATTAAAATACGTATTGGTCATCAATTAATAATAGTAATAGTATTTACTAACACTTAGGAAGTACATAAACCTTTTTGAAATATTTGACTGTATTTATGAGTTTATTTAACAATGTTTTAAGCAACCTCCACGATTTGCGTGAACTCATCGATGCCATTGATGAAATTGAACAGGATGTCAAGTTAACACTAACCACTGAATACTGCAAAGTGTACTATGCACAATACGATGGCAATGGAAGTTATAATTGGGTATGTTAATGCTGATTTCCGGTCAGAAAGGTCGACCTTATATAACTTAATGGTTTCATATAATATAATTATTAAAACTTTTTAGAATGTTGATTATTCTGATTTCTAAAAGCAGTTCACTCTCCGTCACGAAGTGAACAAACTTTTCTAAATATTTTAATCAATTTGATTATTGCTAACACTTATAAGATTAAAGTCTTGTAATCTTTGTCATAAATCTCAGCAATATATGAAGTTAAAGGTCATTTAATTTGCTGTTGACGAGTCCAGTTGCAAACGTCTATCTCAAAACTGCCCAGCAAATAAAAATATTTATAATGTCAACTCTAAAATCAAAAGGATGGATTGGTTAAATGAAGCGTTTTCTATATGTTCTACATATCTGGAAAATTTATGTAAGAATTCGTTGCAGCCGTGGCAATATGCCAAAGCTACTTTCATATTTTGTATAACCTTTACTTGCAGGGGTTGGATGCTCTTGATGGTAATCAATACAATGACGAGTATGAAATATGGGGTGATGGAGAGGGAATAGATGTATATGTGGCAGACACAGGCATCAATCTAAACCACGAAGATTTCATGGGGAGAGTTACTATTGGTGAGTTGCTTCGTGATTGTCTTCATGCGGCGTTGCAGCAAAACAACACCTGATTTTGCAAAAGGGGTCCAAAAAGGGAGCACGTCGGTCTTAAGTACAACGACAGCTAATGCAAGCGTTTTTCATTACTAGGTTTAAAAAGAAAACGCCTTGTCCTGAGAGAGTGAATTTATCTCCGCAGTGTGAAGATTGGGAAATCTGGATTCTCTTAATGTTGCATGGAAATGGGAATGTTGTCTCTTCTGCAATATGATAGCTGCTCATAAAATATAGTTACAATACAACTGCCATTATACATCTCAAATATCTGTTTTTTATAGTACAGGATAGTTATATTTGGGCCAATTTTGTACCATTGGTGAGTTTTCAACTGAAATAAGACGCTTTCATGGGCGTCCGCAGACAATTTTCCAGGGGGGGGGGGTCAAAGTCATTGAAGGGGGAGATAATGATTGGATGGGTAACCGCAATTAACGTGCCCGCCAAAAGTACGGGGGGGGGTCAAGTGACCCCATTGACACCCCCCTGTTGACGCCCATGGACGCTTTGTTGCTTCTTAGTTGTAAAATCATATCAAAGAAGTTCAACTTTAATCAGTTTTAGGTTTAATACATAAAATGGTTGGTTTTATCAATTATTCTTTTTTTTCAGGCTGGCCGACATCTACGAGTGTGGATGACCAAGGTCATGGTACTCACGTGGCCAGTATCATCGGAGGAGTCAATTCTGGCGTGGCAAAGAGTGCTAACATCATTTCCCTGAAGGTTTGTTCATATGAGGGGAATTGTTATACATCCAATGTATTGCAGGGTTCTCTGTGGGTAAAGAAAACGGTGCAAAACAATGGGCGACTCTCCGTTATTAACTTCAGTCTTGGTGGGCCGTTCATCAGGTCTATGAACGACGCAGTCGATGATCTACTCGCAGCTGGAATACCCGCAATTGTTGCAGCTGGTAATTCCAATGCAGACGGTTGTACTGATTCTCCAGCTAGCACGCCAAATGCCCTCACTGTCGGAGCTTTTAATGTCCACTTTGAAAAGACTAATTTCAGTCATCATGGTTCTTGCTTAGATCTTTTCGCCCCGGGTGAGAGTATCGAAGCTGCTGACTTTTCTGGAAACGATAAATATACTATAATGAGTGGCACCTCCATGGCAGCTTCGTTTGTGACCGGCGCCGTAGCTGCCTTGTTGCAGGTCCTCAGAGATAACGGTACTATCACCTCACCCTCTGCCCAGGTCGTCAACTACACCAATGAGTACATCATACAGTACGCATTACGTGGAATACTTGCGGGTGTCGGTAAACCCAATTTGGCTTTGTCTACTCCATGCTTGTACATTTGAGCCCTGTCCACGTCAGTGGAAATAACTTACTAATGTACTAGATCTACTCCAATTTGCCATTTATGCTTACACAGCAGATTTCTCGGAATAAATTTATCTCTGCAGAACAATTGTTTCTTCTTTTCTTTTCTTATAATTTTCGGTCATACCTGATAAAAGCTTTTTAAAACCCAAATCATTTGTTCATCGAATCCAACTTTAAAAGTATTATTTGGAGGAGGGGTGTGGCATTGAGCACCTCGACTGCTATTGGTATGTTCATCATCCACACAGTGATAAACCCATGACGGAATGTATCAATTGTTTTCAGAATTACACAATATCTTCATAAACACACGACAGGGAATGAGGAGCCACTAAGGTCACATCACTGAAGAGTTTTCAGAAAAACACCAAGAATACTTTATGCGTATCGCGAAAATACTTGGGACGTGTTTTAGATCATTTCGTATTCTCTCCTAAGGAAAGCGTTCTATGCTCATTGTGAATAAACTCTTATTCATATATTTTATCAATAAGGCAAATTCTTTTTAAAAGTTCAATGAATGTGGTGTTTCTTTTGCCAATGCGAATTAAGTGGGAAGATTTATGACAGATATATTATGAAACTGTTGGGCACATTTATTATCTAACTGTGATCTTTATTTACATTCATTTTAGAAGAGATTCTTACTTAATGGTCATATAAACAGATTTAAACTGTTGTTTATTTTTGATATTATTATCCAAACATATATTTCTTGTCTTGTGTAGGATCCTGACTTTTACAGTTATTGATTTAAGTTGGAAATATTAGCAAACTTGATACAAAAAGTTTTGTTTTTCTTTTGGTATAATGACCAGATACCTTGTAAGTGAATGTGCTTTATTTTCCCATACCTTTATTTTCTGCATTTACCTTTTCATTGAACAAATACTGCACAGATTTCAGCAGACGAAAAGAACCCCTTTACTCAATGTCTTGCATTGTCTCATTACCATAAGCTTTATTGGTATCAGGGTGGTAAACTGACGACAAGATATTGTCAAGTATCACATGGACCCATGTGGAAAAATCAAGGTGATTGACAGAGAACCAAGAGAAAATCACAGGGAAGTCGTGGAAGAAATCCACGTCAAGAAGACAGGGGCCAGTCTCAACAAAATATTGTGCCATCCTCCCTGTCCTCTACCTCCCATTCCTAAGACAATAGTTATGTGTAGGGAGGGGGCAAATATATACCTGAATAGAGGCTTCATTCTTCACAGAGATACAATCAAGTGAATTAATCAGCATTCAAAATGTAGTGGACATTACTGCAAGTAACTCCCATCTCCACTGGTGCTGGGTCACTGCCAGGTAAATTCTCTAGCAGAAGCTTCTTTATATTCAGTGCAAGGGCAGGATTATTGTCACATTGGTTGTAAGATTTATTTTATATTATTGTTTTTATTTTATTGTGATTGAGGAGCCGGGGAATCCAGCACAACTGGTGCAACGTACACTTGCATCAGAGATAACAAGCTGTTTGTTTTGCCAATCATCAGTTCTGCCTGAGCCTGTAGTTTTAGTTAATTCTTATTAAATGGCCTGCCCCAAATACGTCCGAAAGGCGGCTTAGCTACGGGTTTGATACTGGAATGAACTGTATTTCCAGGAAATGTAACCATATTCGGTGAACACTGGCTATATGCACTACCAATCACCATGGCCTTTATAATCAATTAGACCTATTTGGAATTGATGACCTGCCCCAAATATTGTATGCTCCATAGGCTGTCAAGCTACGGGTCTGATATGGGCGGCAAACGTGATGTGAACATATATCATATTTTAACGTTAGTTGAAAATATATCAGAACATTGTCACGGCACGACACTGTTCAAAGGAAAGGGAGCATAATCTGGTAAGTGGCATTAGTCTTCTCAAAGGTTACTGGTGTGCCAGGAGCTATAGGCCAAGAAAGAGAAATCCGTTGATCCTTTTATGATTAGTGCAAGTTAAGATATGACGTAGTATTGGGTTTAGTATAGCGAATGAAATTCACCGGTACAAGGCAACGGAAAACGGACTACGTTTCCTAGCCGACTATCATCACTGTCACACGTGGACGGTAGTCTGCTAAGAAAATTAGCGTACATGTTTTAATAATAGATACATTTTCAATACGATTCAAGTATTAAAATTACCAATTTCTACACTAGAAATAGAGTTATACCTGGCAGAGCTTTTGATAACATCCGTTTTAGTGTAGAAACTGATAAGTTTAATACTTGAATCATATTTTTCGACTACACAGATGAATTTCCATCAGAACATTTTCAATACGTTGGAAGTTTGGGACAGTGTGTAACTGGACGTGGCAGTGCTAGACGCCTGTGCAACGTACAAGCGTTTGTTAGCGGTTGCTTTTGGCATCTTTTCCTTCGCGTAGATGACATCAGCCACTCACGTACATAAGGTCTTGTTCGGTTTCAACACCGCGTCTCACTGATATTCATACCGAATTCACATTGAATTTGGAATGCCTTTTTCCAAATAATTTTTTGTTGATTTTCACCATTGTGTGAGTTGCTTTTAAATTTTTGTTTCTATCTAAAACGTGTTTTCATTCCTTCCAAATCACCTCTGCGGTGTTATTATTACATCCAGCTATTTAAATGAATTTATTAATTATTCGAAGTATTTGGCAACCATTTTAAAATGGCCATTCTACTTCCTCCATCTTGAAAAGTTTTCATCTGTTAACACAAGGCACAAATACGCCAATATCTAATCAGAACAGCGATTAAAAGCGCGTCTGACGTAATTCTTTATAAATATATTTATATTTATTTTGCACCATGCAAAGTTGTGTTTACAGCTGAACAGCTCTCAACACGGTTTTAATCACAACAATAAGTACTACAATCCCGTTCGAGAGAATTAACAAAAGTATGTGCCATTAACAAAAGTTCAGTGCAATCCATAGGCATGAGGCTGTATTTCACGCCATGTCAGTCTTCCTGATCAATTCTGACTTAGTTTCGGGGTCAACGTCCCAACCGATCGCCATCGTCCATCATTCAACAAAGAAGATTAATTGAAGAAAAACCGAGCGTGCGGCTTCATTCCCGCGTCTTACTGATATTCATACCGATTTCACAATCGTTTTGAAGAGTGGTGAATGAAGCAACAGAAAGCGAAGCCCGTGAGAGTAGTGAATAAAACTACAGAAAAAGAAACGCGTGAGAGTGGTGAATAAAAATACAGAAAGGGAAGAGCGTGGATGAGGTGAATAGAACAACAGAAAGGAGAGTTTTGCTCCAGACGTGTTTAATTTTATGTAATAAAATATATGCACTTTATATAATAGAAAAAGGAAAGGTGGTGCTTTGACAAATTTAAGTGTATGTTACCTATTGAAGTTCCAAAATGGTGCCCTTTTCTAAAGCCACTCGATTTTCTCAGAAATTCTAACAGCATAAAAATGAATTCCAACAGCTACCTGTACATCAACGCTAGCAGTTGACTGGTATAGCAAAAAAGATATTAATTCAGGAACACCATTAACAACATGAAATGAATAAGGTTTTTAAAAAATAATAATAGTAATATTTATTTCTTAAAACCGCACTACACTACCGTCTAAATGCTGTTTACAGATAGAATGATCAGAAGTATAACTAATTATATAGATAATAAAAGCTAAGGTAAAAAATTAAAATAATTAATGCTGGTTAAAATAGTAATGGTCTGAACAATAAAACTTTTTTCTGATAAAATGAGAAAATATTAATTAAAGTTCTGTGCAAATAAGAATGTTTTAAAGTGTTTTTTAAAACCTCAACACTATCAATAGTCCGAATGTGTGAGAGTAGTTGATTCCACAAAATGGGTGCTGCAATTGAAAATGCCCTGGGGCCGTAGGTTTTGGTTGTTTTTTATTATCATTTCTGGTAAAACATAGAGTGGAGGTGGATCTGGTAGACCTGGTGAGACTGGGTGTACTTGGATGTAGCATCGAGTTAAAATATGAGGGGCATTCTCCTCAGTAATTTGAAAACAGTTCTCTGTCGTACAGAAAGCCAGCGTAGTTCAAATAAAATAGGTGAAATGTTTGATCTGAGAGGGTTTTGGTCAGTAGTCATGCTGCAGCATTTTGGACAGATTGCAGTTTTTCAATTTGGTAGGTAGGAAGACCAAAGAGTAGACTGTTTCAGTAGTCAAGATGTGCAGTTATAAAGGCATGGACAATCCTCTCCATTTGACTTTTATCAAGGATATGGGATAGTTTGGAAATTTTTTTAAGACCATAAAAATGTTCACGAATAATGAAGAGGGAGTGGAATAATTGGCGCACATTTGTAAGCGACTTACTTAAACTCCTTCGCCACATTTTTTTCTTCTTGTAACAGGTCTGGTTCTACCACGGCACTCTGATTTGCTAAGACCGTGGGAAGCCCTGCATGTGACGTCTTTCCTTTATCTTCTGCCAGAGATGTTCGTAATGCAGACTCGAATTTGGGCCATTAATTTTTTTAAATTGTCGTCCAGTACAAATGGCAATTTTGCTTTAGATCTTGGCCTACATACGTAAGAATTATNTTTATAAATATATTTATATTTATTTTGCACCATGCAAAGTTGTGTTTACAGCTGAACAGCTATCAACACGGTTTTAATCACAACAATAAGTACTACAATCCCGTTCGAGAGAATTAACAAAAGTATGTGCCATTAACAAAAGTTCAGTGCAATCCATAGGCATGAGGCTGTATTTCATACCATGCCAGTTTTCCTGATCAATTCTGACTTAGTTTCGGGGTCAATGTGCCAACCGATCGCCATCGTCCATCATTCAAAAAAGAAGATTAATTGAAGAAAAACCGAGCGTGCGGCTTCATTCCCGCGTCTTACTGATATTCATATCGATTTCACAATCGTTTTGAAGAGTGGTGAATGATGCAACAGAAAGCGAAGCCCGTGAGAGTAGTGAATAAAACTACAGAAAAAAAGCGCATGAGAGTGTGAATAAAAA